AAAAAAAAAAAATGTCAACCAGGTAATGTGCTGATGTTCTAACAAGGTTCAAGGGTAGCACATCTCACATGTGAGCGTGAACACCCAATGATCACACTTAGGAACTATAAAAGGATCTGTCTGATAGCATTTTACCCAGAAGAAAGAACTACTTTCTCTCTCTCTCTCTCTCTTTTTTTTTTAGACAAGAATCTCACTCTGTCGCCCAGGCTGGAGTGCAGTCACCATTTCGGCTCACTGCAACTTCTGCCTCCTGGGTTCAAGCAATTCTCCTGCCTCGGCCTCCTGAGTAGATGGGATTACAGATGATTACAGATGTGTGTCACCATGCCTAGCTAATTTTTGTATTATTAGTAGAGATGGGGTTTCACCATGTCAGCCAGGCTGGTCTCGATCTCCTGACCTCAGATGATCTACCCGGCTTTGGCCTCCAAAAGTGCTGGGATTACAGGTGTGAGCCACCATGCCTGGCCGAAAGAACTACTTTCAAAATTGTAGTTGCTTTTCTCAAACCCTGCCACTGTGTTACCAAATAATTTTTGTAATACTTCTAAATCCTTGTTTTCATTTCAGCAGTGTTCACAGCATCTTCGCCAGCAGTAGATTCATCTCAAAAAAAAAAAAAAAAAACCCATTCTTTGCTTATCCATAAAAGCAACTCCTTCTCCTTTACAGTTTTATCATAAGATTGAAACAGCCCAGTCACAGCTTCAGGTTCCATTTCTAATTCTAGTTCTTTTGCTATTTCCACCACATCTGCAGTTACTTCTACCATGGAGGCCCTCAGCTCCTCAGAGTCATCCATGAGGGTTAGAACCAACTTCTTCCAAACTCCTGTTAATGTTGATATTTTGACCTCCTCCCCTGAATCACGAATATTCTTCATGGCGTCTAGAATGGTGCATCCTTTCCAGAGATTTTCAATTTACTTTGTCTGGATCCTTCAGAGGAATCACTATCTATGGCATCTATTGTCTTATAAAATGCATTTCTTTTTTTTCTTTCTTTTTTTTTTGATACAGAGTCTTGCTCTGTCACCCAGGTACAGTGGTACGACCTTGGCTCACTGCAACCTCCGCTTTCCTGGTTCAAGTGATTCTTGTGCCTCATTCTCTCGAATTTCTGGGATTGCAGGTGTGCCCCACCATGCCCAGCTGATTTTTGTATTTTTAATAGAGACAGGGTGTCACCATGTTGGCCAGGCTGGTCTCAAACTCCTGACCTCAGGTGATCTGCCTGCCTCGGCCTCCCAAAGTGCTGGGATTATAGGAGTGAGACACCATGCCCAGCCAAATGTATTTCTTTTTATTTTATTTTAGAGGCGGGGTCTCTGTCTGCTGTCCGGGCTGGAGTACAGTGACAGGGTCTCCCTCTGTCGCCCAGACATGGAGTGCAGTGGTGCGACCACTGCTCACTGCAGCTTCTATCTCCTTAGGCTTAGGTGATCCTCCCACCTCAGCCTCCCGAGTAGCTTGGAAGCTGGGACAACAGGTGCGTGCCACCACACCTAACTAATTTTTGTAGAAATGGGGTTTTGCCATGTTGTCCAGGCTGGTCTTGAACTCCTGGGCTCAAGCAATCAACTCACCTTGGCCTCCCAAAGTGCTAGGATTAGAGGTATGAGCCACTGTGCCTAGCACACAGCTAATTTTTAGAAATTTTTAGTAGAGGCAGGGTCTTGTCTTGTTGTCCAGGCTGGTATCGAATTCATTGGCTCAAGTAATCCTCCCGCCTCAGCCTGTATT